CGTGTAGCTTTGCGCGAAATTAAAAAAACATACAAACAGAATCTTACTATAATGGAAATAGCGTGTATATATGTATCTATGTATACAGCCGAAATAATAAATACAATGTGGCGCCATCTATTTAGTGGCATCACAAAGAAAAATCCATAAAATTTCACACTTCGGGTATTCAAGATTCAGACAATTAAATAAATAACTACGGTATGTGCAACAACCTTTTCTTTATCACAGAACACAATTTTAAATAAAAGCACTATCCTCACAACAAGAACATGACCTGCACTAGGACTGCACGTGAGGTTTTGATTATATCTTTATTGATGTAATTTGTAAGTATACTAAAATAATGGAGTTCTTAAAAAACTGTTATTTTTTTCAATAAAGGGTACTACTTTTAATATATAAAAACATCAGAGTTTATATCAGCACAATCCGAACACGTTTCCACTGCAGTACTTCCCGAAAAACTCCTTTTTTAGAAAGTTCCCATTTTCTAAATTATTTTCAATGAGGTATGAGTACTACGATTAGTGGTATTTAACTGAAAAACAGTTTATTGTCAAGCGAATCTGATAGATTTCTAAAATGTTTACTGAGTACTGAAACTAATGACTAATTATTCGAACAGAATAATTGTGATATACATAATTGATTATTTTATGTTTCAGCCTGTAATATGATTCTTATTATAATTTTTAATCATGGGAATATTTCTTTATAAAATTATATGAAAAAATATTATTGTTGTGCTTTATTTTTGAATATATGTCTTCTTTTAACTTTGGTAAGGATTGTTTTTGAAATTTTGTTTAAATGCAGCTATTTATTGTTTTAGAGAACATTTTAAAGCGACCTCTTTCGGCTATTAGTGGCATCTTGATTTTAAGCGTGGCTGTTTTGAAGGAAATATTTGAGATGTTCAGCTTATTAGAATAAACAGTCATGAGTGATATAAAATGTAGCATTTAGTAACACGTTAAAGGCACAAAAACAGAACGAAAAAAAAATAGTGACGTACAATAAAGAACGCTTTGAACGGCTTGATTGGAATAGGAATTTTAGGATAACAGCATATTTTATTATGTAGCACAGATAATGATCAGGTGTCATGATATAATCTCAACTCCATGCATTATGTCAATCTTGAACTAATTATGACTCTTGCTATGTGATTCAGTATTTTGTACTTGTGGAACACTCAATTTATTATTATATTAACCACATAGTTTCCTACATAAAAAAGTATTGCTCAGAAACTATAGTATTACTAGTTTGTACAACGTTATCAATCACTAACTCGTAAGTGTTGTTTTTTACAGTTGTTATAAGGGTGCACCTGATCCTACAATACTTATTCTTTTGTATTCACATAAATGAAAAAAGTTTCAAAAAATATACATCTATCAATCTTATTGCTAAAAAAACATCGACAACAACGAATTCAACATAACAGTAGGAGAAGTTCTAAAAGTCAATAGGAACTCTAGAATGTGGATTGTCCACAGTTTTTTCCAGCTCGATTGGTTCGTCTACTTGATCTTACTTTTGTTTGTTCTTCACCATCTTTGATGACGTGTCACTTCCAACAACTCCAATGCGAAGTCCGCACACGAAAAAAAAAAAAGAAAATATAATTAAAAAAACAACTTAGTCTAAATTATCAACGTGATTCCAGTTTATAATAGCTGAACCACTTATTTTCATTAAAATGAGAGGGGAAAAAAGGAAATTTCCTATGCACCTTTTTTAAAATATAAAATATACTTTTAAAGCCAGATAATAATTTACAGTTAAAATAGGGTAAGTTGTTCGTTAAGTATAACTGAGTTAGGTTTTATTCAAGACGCTTAACCACGAAACAATGTTAGCAGACAGTTTATGATTAATAAATGTTCCTCGTTCTCTAAAGAGCTCAAAATCTGCAGCGTTCTCTCTTGATTGCCACCTAGTGGAAATTGATTTGTTTTTTGTTTTATTTCAGACGGCCGAGGAATGGGAAAAGGTATTTTTGATAGCCAGTTTAATTCATTTTGGTGGTATCATATTCTACGCTGTTTTCGCCTCTGGTGAGGTCCAGGCATGGGCAGAACCTCCACCAGAAGCGGAAGAAACGTCGTGGAATCCATTAGAAAACGTTTTCAAAGACGAAAATGATCAAACCGATAGACCTTTTGCCACATCTTCTAAACAGTCATCATATCACACTTTAAACCTTTGCCAGGAAACTGTGCTTAAACCAACTAAGGGGGGATCTACTGAAGCATCTCAAGGGGAGTAATATTCCCCCGTAACCTCAACGTGAGATTGATGTTATATTTGAAGTAAACAATGTTGAAGTTATGTGTAAAAACAATGTAAAAAAATGGAATAGTATTAATAATGACAATAAGTAAAAATTAATTGTTTTCAATTGTAATCTTAATAAAATTTATGTGTTTCAGGCATAGAGAATTGTTTGTAGGTGCATCATTAAATATTTAGTGTTCTTTTGTTTTTGTATTTTAATTTTAGTTATCATTGCCGGGTTTGTTTGTTTATGATTTTTGTATGATCAATAAATTGCATGGATGTCGCCTCAAAGGTTTAAAAGTTATAGTCCTCATCTTTCACTTTTATTACAACTGATGCTGAAAAACGCAACATTTCAGTTAATTTTATCCCAGTACATTCAAAGGTAGCATTTTATATTAATGATCTGTATTTATAACTTTAGATAATACGTTTTTTTTATGAAAAAAGTGAAGTTTTAGGATCCTTACCTCGGAAACATCTGTTGATAGGATCCTTACCTCGGAAACATCTGTTGAATTAAAGAATTTTTAATTGTATCATTCACATAATTTGGGCACGAAACTGAAACGATTACCTCGGCAATTGCCACGCCCAAAATTGCCCGGAATAGTATTTCACTGATGTATTTTTATGCTTCTGGATCTGAACCCAAACACTGTTTTTCCTCATGTGACGTTTCGAAGATAAATCGGTTCCCGAAGTCGGGAATTTTCCTCATTAAGCATATTCATAAAAATTCTCGTCTCTTTTGCGATTATTCCAACGCGGTCTGGCGTTCAGAGCAGTCGCGTTTTACCGTACAAGTTGAAAGTTGAATCTGATCATCGTCAGTTAACTATTTCATAGCTTTTTGATAGCCCCCCCCCCCAAGTCGCACAGCGGAATGTCTACTGACTTATAACGCTAAAAACCAGGATTCGATACCCTTGCTAGGCAGAGCACAGACAGCCCATTGTGTAGTTTGTGCTTAATTACAAACAAACAAACTTTCTAATTGAAATTTGTACAAAATTTGTTGACACTGCCAAATACTTTTATTTTATTTTAACTGCTATTTCCGGTAGTTTGTTTGAAAGAAAATATATTTAACATTAATTAGGTTACAACTTTAGAGAGTTAGCAATAGAATATATAACTTTCTGGTGCTTTCATTTCTTATCGAACTATTTAGTAAATATTTTAAGGTTCTAAGGAAGGATAATACATAAATTGTATTTGCTATATAATAATAAAATAATTGCGTAGACGAGGAAATAACAAAATGGAATATAAAGTAGTGATGAAAACTCGCAAAATTAAAATAATTTCATCAATAAAACACGAAAACAACGCTCCTGGCATCAGCCCTTCATCAGGTTACCAGTTAGAATGAAACTGTTAATTCAAGGATTTGGTTGAAAGAACAAGTAACACGTGCTCGAAGGGTCGAAAACATGTTCCTGAGGTAAAAATGAGTTAAGGGAAGTAACACACAAACACATAGATATATATAATCGGTATCAAAATTGTGTATATATGGTAAATCGCAGTAAATAAACTAAAGAAAAAAGTAGAACAAGAATACAGGCAACATTGTAAGGAAATGAATGTACACAAGTATCGGGTAATATTGTTAAAAGGGATACAACAATAAAAGTTATGTTCACTTAACAGGAGTGAAGAATGACGGCGAAAAGAAAGGAATATAAAGGTAACAAAACTGGGTGACTAAAGTGAACGGACTGGAGAGGAAAAAGTGTGCAAAACTTGAACAAAAAAAGTTGTAGACACAAATTGTCAGTGTGAGAAAGTATAGATAAATTGTAGGGCGGGGAAGTGGAAAGGATAGAGTTAAAGGAAAGATAACTCTTCATTCATCCAAATGGATTAACAGTGCTTAATCTAAAAATCAAACGTTTTTCTCTTTACGTTACAGTGGATGGAGCAAATGTGAGTTCTAAATACGGAGATATCGGACATGCAATGTGAAGGGTTATTAAAGTGTCTACCTGTGGGTTTTATAGCGTCATTGTTTCTTACGTAAGTGAGACGTTCACGTGAACGATCCCCTAAGCTACGACCCGTTTGACCAACGTGTAACATGTTGCACTTTTTTACAGCATACACAGTAATCAGGCTTGTTGAAATGCAAGTGAATAACTGTTGTATTTGAAAACTTCCATTGGGACCAGATGTGTATGTTGTGGTATTAACATATTGGCAGGTGATGCATTTCTTTCTGTGACAACAGGCTGTACCCGGGTTCACACTAGGAGTAGATTTCTGGATGACACAGTGCATTTATATATTTTTACCGTGTCTATAACTTAGAAGTGGGCGTTCTTTAAACATTGTGGAAGTTATAGGGTTGTCAGTGAGGATATTGAAGTTTTGTTTGATTATTTGGGCAACCTTAGAGGTATTAGAATGTTAAGTAAAGATAATTGGTATTCAAGAGTTTGTAGATTTAGGTTTAGGTTTTAGGGTGTATTGTCGGGTTACAGAATGGGCGCATTGGGCGGATTTTTCTATTAAAGACTTGGGGTAAGAGCGACTGATAAAGAAATCTTTCATATCTTCAGATTTCGACTCGTAATCAATTTGTTCACTGAAGAGTCTGCGCAGTCTTAGGAATGTGGAAGAGACTGAAACGTATGACGGAGATGGGAAGAATCCTAGCGGAGTTAAGAATGGGTATCAGTGATTTTGTAGTGTAGTGAAGTCGATAAATGACGGTTTTTAACGAAGACAAGACCCAGTGGCACAGCGGTATGTCTGCGGACTTACATCGCTAGAAACCGGATTTCGATACCCGTGGTAGGCAGAGCACAGATAGTCCATTGTGTAGCTTTGTGCTTAACTTCAAACAAACAAAAAAATAGCGGAGACAAGAATGTATAAAAAGTGTAAGCTTTTGGAGGAAACTGTCCATGTGAAGGTAATCGCTGAGTGGAAGGAGGAAACAGTCCATGTGAAGGTAATCGCTGAGTGGAAGGAGGAAACTGTCCATGTGAAGGTAATCGCTGGATGGAAGGAGGAAACTGTCCATGTGAAGGTAATCGCTGGGTGGAAGGAG